CATCACCACCATCATCACCATCACCACCACCACCTCCACCACCATCACCACCACCTCCACCATCACCACCACCACCAGCACCACCAGCACATCACCATCAGCACCATCACCACCATCATCACCAGCACTATCACCATCATCATCACCACCATCATCACCATCATCATCACCACCATCACCACCACCATTACCACCACCAGCACCAGCACCACCACCACCATCACCATCACCACCATCATCACCAGCATCACCATCACCACCAGCACCAGCATCACCATCACCACCACAGCCACCATCACCACCACCATCACCATCAGTACCAGCACTATCACCAGCACCACCACCATCATTACCAGCACTATCACCAGCACCATCACCACCATCACCACCATCATCATCACTACCACCACCACCACCATCATCATCACCACCACCACCACCACCACCATCACCACCATCATCGTTACTCCCATCTGTCACATCCACACCCTCACCACCACCACTCATTACCACCCATCACGGCCATCACCATCACCAAAGGCAAGGGAGCGGTGGTATCCGAGGTCAGAACGTGCCCGCCATGCACACAGTGCGCGCACCAGACAGCCCTGGGCGGGAACTCGGCCTGCTGGTGCCTTCTGATTGGTGAGGCTGTTCACCCAGGTGGGACACCTGCTTTTGTAGGCAGGAGGGTCACTGGCGGTAACTAGGGTGAGGTGGGCAGCCCGGCCCTGGGCTCAAAGCCCGGGCTCAAAGAGGCCACGCGATTCTGCACGTGGGATAGCTTTCTCTCTCTCTGGCTCCGGTTTTTGAGTTGCTGGGTGGTGCTGTGTGTGTGCGGCGCTGGAGAGCTCCTGTCCAGCCCTGTGGCCCCATGGGTAATGGCCTCCAGGTGGCACAGGGGCCTCTACGACCAGCATTCAGAGAGCAAGATGGCCACGGCGAGCCCGGAGGAGAGGCATGGAGCCTGGACCTCAGCAGGGTCGGGGATGGAAGGCAAGGCGCTCCCTAGAACTCGGGACCTGCCACTGTTGTCAGGAGCTGCTCAGTTGCAATCCGCGGCTTCGGGTTGCCAACTCAGCAAAAAGAGCAGAAATAAAATGGAAGCGAGAAAATGTAGAGCACTCAGTGAGGGCAGGGCTTGTGCACTGGGCGCTGGCATCCCCGCACGGAGATCCCCGCAGGGAGCTGCACCGCGCTTCCCAAGTGCACACTGGGCGCCGGGCAGCCTGACCCTGACCCTTGATCTCTGGCCGGAACTGTTGTGTCTCCGCCTTACAGAGCCATGAAATGACTGCCCAAAGCCACACGGCAAGTGGCGGTGGAGCCAGGTCTTGAACCTACATCTTGTGAGGATGTGTGTGCCCTTTGTGCCTTACACATTCACGGAACGTGGCTTTTTTGTTCACCAACAGACCTTACTTCCTGCTCAGTTAACTGGACAAAATAAACCAGGGCCTGCGAAGATGGCTCAGTGGTAGAGCACTTGCCTTGCATGCCTGAGGCCCTGGGTTCGATTCCTCAGCACCACATAAGCAAAAAGAAAAAAGCCGGAAGTG